AGTCTCATCTGTCTCTTTTCTTTCTGACCTAAAACATTTGGGATTTCTTTTTTTAAAAAAATCAAATTTAAAAATGTGAATTATATTTAAGGGAGCTATAAAACTTCACAACATGACTATGGTTATATATCTGTGGTCCTATTTTGTAAATATCCATATACGTAAATACTTAGGCACTTTTCTCTAAGGTTTAGGTTGATAGGATTTTCATATGATAATGCCAACTAAACAATGCATAAGAATTCAATGATTAACTGAAAAGCAATGCCTACTCATAAATGTTGATACTGATGGTAGGTTAACTGTTGATAAGACAAGCCTATTTTATATTTCTAAGTATATATTAACTTACCTTTTCATAGTTAAGCTTAAAATTTATATGTAAGGTAATCTTATACACATCCCCTATTGAACTTAATATAATGTATTAAGTATTTATAAAAATGTTTATGTCCTGCTGAGTATTTATTTACTTAATCGAGGAATGTTACATGCTTTTCAGAGCTTTTATTTACTTAAGAAGTGAAGAGTTTAAGTGTAAAAATAAAGGCCTTGCTTAAACTATGAGAAACCATAAAAGAAGTGCTAATAAACACTAGGGAAGAGATCATGTCAAAGACCAAAGAAAAATTCCGCACTGACAGAGATTGCCTGTGAACAGTGGAAAAAGGAAAGACACACGTATGGGAAAGAAAGGAAATGCAACAGAACACACCTGACAGAAGTAGAGAATAGGAATAACCAAAAAACTATAATGAGTTTTGAGGAGCTTAATATTGGAAATACTTTTTATAACTGCTCATTGCAATTAGTTGAACACTGTTCTCATGCAGCGTATACTTCTCATCCCATCTGATACAAACATGCCTGTCATATTCAGAAAAAGACAGTTGCTAATATGTTTGGCCTTGTTAATGACTCTCCATAAGTCACAGATAAGAGAAACTAATGAAAAGTAGTGTTTATATTAGTAAAGATAAATATTAATGCATTCCTTTTGGAAATAATGTAAAAACATGCACTTACAAGAACGGGCATGCAGGTCGATACTAGCATGTGGCCGTGTTTCTTGATCTTGGCTGCATTCATACATGTTCGGTATTTTTTTAATGATCTTTTGAAAGATTGTTTTGCCAATTTTAAAGACATGATTGCTGTTTTACAGTAATAACTTAATTGAAAGATTTTGATTCAGTGCAAATCTAACTTTTAAAGTATTTTTATTGTGGTAAAAATGCCTAAAAAATTTACCATTTTAGCCATTTTTAAGTATTCATTTCAGTAGGTGGCATTAAGTACATTCACAATGTCGTTTAATCATCACCACTATCTAATTCCAGAACTTTTTCATCATCCCAATCAGAATTCCACCTATTAATCAATGACTCCCATTCCTTCTCTCCCCAACCCCCAGCAGCCACTATTCTATTTTCTTTATCTATGAATTTGATTATTCTGTATACTTCATACAAGTGAAATCATACAATTGTCCTTTTTGTCCAGCTTATTTTAATTAGCACGCTTTCAAAGTTTATCCATGTTGTAGTATATATCAGAACTTTTGTTCTTTTCAAGGCTGAATAATACCCCATTTATGTATATACCACATGTTGCTTATCTATTCATCTATTTATGGACACTTGGGTTGTTTCCATTTTTCAGCTCTTTGAATAGTGCTGCTGTGAACATGGATATACAAGTATCTGTTTAAATCCCTGTTTACAGTTCTTTTAGGTGTGTGCCTTGGAGTAGAATTGCTGAGTTATATGACTGTTCTTTTGTAAGTTTAAATTTTTAAGGAATCACCAGCTTTTCCACAGCAGCTGTACCATTTAATGGCAATGCATGAGGGTTCTAATTTCTCCACGTCCTCAGCCACACTTGTAATTTTGATTGTTTATTTGGGGTTTTGTTGTTTTGTTTTGTTTTTTTACTCTAGCTATCCTGGTTGGGTATGAAACAATGTCTCATTGTGGTTTTGCCTTGCATTTCCCTAATGACTAATGATGTTGAGCATCTTTCACATGCTTACTGGCCATCTGTCTGTCTTCGGAGAAATCTCTATTCTGATAATTTGCCCCCATTTTTATTCTAGTTTCATTTTTAAATCATGATTTCTCCAGCCGGGTTCTGGGGACACATGCCAGTAGCAGAGGGTTCCGCCCTTTCGGTGCCAGCTCCGTCTGGGGAACCCAGGCCTTTGGCCCCGGTAGCGCTGCCTCCTTTCATCCCTGCCCAGAGTTGGTAGACACTTGCTGTCGCTAATCTTTGGGTCACTTCACTGCTCCCTGTTTGACCCTCAAGTCCTCCATCAGTTATATATCAAATTCTTTTCATTACCTGATGTAAATATTTGATATGGTTTGGTCCCTGTTTTCCCGGGTAGGCCCTAACTGGTGCAGAACCTAAACTCCCTCCGTCCAGAGCTGAGAAAATGTTGACCTTGTTTTCTTCCAAATACATTTTAGAATTAACTTAGTCGTGTTCAAGGACAAACCTTGCTGGCATTCCTGAAACCAAGAACTTTGGAAATTTCTTCAGATTCATGAAGTTAGTAAAAGGACAGGTACTAGGACCGTAATGCCTTGCTTCTCAATCCACTTCTTCTAATAAACTGAAACTTCCAAGGTAGGGAACTGAGTAACTAAAGGAGTGGGAGAGGGGCTTTTTTTTTTTTTTAAACTATATGTAGCTTTATTCCTTTTGATTTTTAACCACATAAATCTTTTACCTATTTAGAATGGATAAATTTTAAATCTTTAAAATGTCTTCCTTTACACATTTGGTATGTCAATGTGGGTCGTTACAAAGTGTCTTTAATTTAAATGTCATTATGCTTGCTAGTTTTTAGAGAGAAGTATCACCATAGTTATCACCAAACAGAAGACTTCATTAAGCATATAGTTATTCATAAGCTTATATATGCACACACAAAATGTAGTTCTATATAATTAAATCTACAGTAACCCCATTTATTTTCTGTTTTCTAAAATAATGATCTTCAAATATTTTTGGTCATAATTTCCTATTCATAAAAACCTTTGAGCATACACTCCCATTATATGTACTGCATATTTATTTATAATTATAAGTACATGGACCACTGAACTCACGTGTACATTATAAGTATTTTTAAAAGTTGACATTTATAAAAAATAAACAAATTAAAAGAAGAAATTCTAAAGCTTTTCCTCGACCCCAGTAGATTATCTTGTGCCTGCTTGGGCAGCCCCCTTAATGGGACGGTGTTCAGGAAGGTTTCAGCTAAGAGCTGCTGAAGGATCTCAGACACCTAATTTGTGGAAGCGCCTACATGTTCACCAAACTTAGTGAAAATGTTTAAAGTGATCTCTGACTTCGACTCCCTAACCTATTTTAACTTCCTTAATTTAAACACAAAGCAATAAAACTTGTTCCATAGTCCTATTAGCTTCAGTTCTAAGCAGTTTCTCTCAACTGTGATAAGAGTCTGATTTGCACAGCCTCTGAACTTAGGAATCACATCACTAGTGTACACTAGACTCTTTATCACCAAAGATCAGGTGGCCTTGAGACAAAGGGAGAGGATATGTGTATAGATTTGAGAGGAACTTAAAATAGCAGTAATAACTGTCACAAGATTCACTAGTTTCTACGTGGCTTACAAAAAAAAAAAGCATTAACAAAAAAATTGTGATGAAAACAATACAAAATTAAGCTGTTATCTGGAGTCTTTTTAAGGTCATTCCCTTTGTTAGATACAACATAACGACTGTCTCCTACCTGGGTTTAAACAGCTCAAAACTAGCACCCGGAAAATCCCTGCCAGAGCTAGGCTTCTTTCCCATGGAATCTTTGAGTTACCTGGAGCAGAGAGCAGAGCCCCTCTTTAGCCAGTTTGATGAGGGCCCACAGTGTCCTCCAGGACACCAGGATGACATAAAGTTGAATGAGACCGTCACTTTTTAGGTCAGTGACATTTAGGAATGAATAATTCGATCATGGAGAAAAATTCATACTTAAGAGCAGAATACTGGAAGTGATTACTTGTCAGGGAAAATAAGGCTTTGCAGAGGGAAGGCCATGTGCTCTGGACGATGAAGATGAACTGTAGTTGAGGAAAAAAGGAAGAGGAGTAGGAAGGTAAAGATAAACAAGGCAAGGAAAGAGAAAATTAACAGAGCACCCAGCTGGGTGGAAGGGTATCTCGTGTAATCGTCAGGAAAGCCTTCTGGGGTGGCCGTTACCCCTACTTCACACATGGAGAAACTGGCTCAAGAAAGTGAAGTAATTAGCACAAATCATGCGATTACTTGCTGCAGAGTTTAATTAAGGGATGCATTAGCTAGATAATAAGTGCAATTTAGTGGTCCCAAAATTTAATTGTATAGCATTTGTAAGGATATAGAGGAGTTGCACTTAACAGAACTATCCTTAGGAAGTGCAGTACATGTGCTGGGGAAAATAATACCTCAGCTCCTTGGGATGCTGATGTGGTCAAGGTCCCACAGGGCATGCTGGCGTAGCTGGTTGCTACACTCTTCAAAAGAGGCTATTTTCCCTTAATACTCAGGAGCCTCTTCTTTCAGTAAATGTTTAAGAGATATTTGAGGACTATTAATTTAAAGGGGCTGAAACTAGCAGTGTGCTCAAGAACCCTACTTGTTCTGCCTGGTTACGGAAGGGTTCTCTGCCTAACGCCAAAGCCACCGCTGTCGGAGACGCACAGTGCTGCCTCTAGCATGAAACTAAAATGCAGACAGGCAGGCAACGAGGCAGCCCAACGGACAGAGGGAGGTAGAGATGGGGAAGAATTAATGGCAATTTAAAGACTGTGCTGCTGGTCGTCTTCTCACAGGGGGATCTGATGGTAATCTTAGTGTTGTATTTTCTTCAACTTTTAATCATAACCACAAAATTTTCAGGTAGCTAAAATCCTTCAGGGAACAAGATATGGTAAGAATGAGTGAACCCATAAATCTCTACTGTTAAATCTTCCATTGTATATTTGTTATCCTCAGGAAATTACTACAATCAAGGGGAGATTCGTAAGAAAGAACTTTTGCAGAGCTGTGATGTTTTGGGGATTCCACCCTCCAGTGTAATGATTATTGACAACAGGTAATTCAGCTGTATTAATGATTTGATTGAGAACACATCTAGTGTTTCACCATTAACTGTTGGTTGCTGGTTATGAAAGATAGTCTTTATCATGTTCAATGTTGTTGGGAAGTGATGTTCATTGTCTTAGATTGGGCGGGGGTGGGGGGGGCGAGGGGCAGGGGGCGGCGTCTCCTGTTCTTTTCAGTGCCCTACAAAGAGATAAGGGGAATGTTTCAATTCATTCTCAGTTTTACTTGGCTCAGGGTAAAAACTGTTGGGATCACCATGGGGGAATTTATTCTCTGTCCACACCAGTGGGTTTTGTAATACTCTTGAAAGTGCAAATCTAGAGGCAGACTGCCAGGACCAAAACCCCAGCTTCAACAGGCCATTTAACTCTGTCATGGAAGCCAGTTCCTTAATCTGTTACTAAATCTCTTCCTCTATAACCCTTGGAAGATGCACAGTTTTGAGTCAATTTGTGAAATAAATCATTTGCTCATTTGTTTTCAAAGATGGCATACTTCCCTTTTACTTTGTGGGTATATGGTGTGATTTATTTTCTCATTATTAATATTAACAATAATATTAATGGGCTCAGACACCCCGTTTGCACACAGACTTCTGCCTGTGCAGTGTTGGCTGTGGCCCAGCAATGCATGATGTTTCTCCAGGGCCAGATCTGAGTTGTGGGAACTATAGTCAAACCAAAGATCTCAGCATGGTTATCAAGATCTTTACTCTCTTCATGTCTTAATTAATTACATGTTTTATATATCCTGAAAATCATGCAGCTTCAGCAACATCCCCTACTTGGGAAATGCTAATGTAGAGGGGTAGTAAACTTGTTAAAAATAAAATTTTCCAGAAGCCAGTTTGAAGATGCAAAGAAACCATGTATCTTAGGTCTGCTCAGGCAGCCATAGCAAAATGCCATAGACCGGGAGGCTTATACAGCAACCTTTTATCATCTCACAGTTCTGGAGGCTGGAATTCCCAGGTCACAGTCCAGCGGGGGCAGTTTCTGGAGGGGATTTGCTTCTTGGCTTGCAGATGGCCGACTTCTCACTGTATGCTCGTTGCGGGCGTGGGGGGGATTTCTTTCCCTTATTAGGCCACCAGTCCTATAGGATTAGGGTCCACCATTATGACCTCACTTAACCTGAATTACTTCCTAAAGCTCTTTCTCCAAACACAGTCACATTGGGCATTAATGCTTCAACAGATGGGTTTGGGAGGATGCAATTCAGTCCCTAGCAACATGCAACCTACAGTCTTTCAACCTCTTACATCATAACCCAGAAAAAGCAGAGCTTTGGAATTTTACTTTAGGTGATTTAGATGAGTCAAAGAGAAGAATGAACGGTAAGATGAGAAAGGAAATTTTATGGAGGGCCTACACTCATAATAGTAACAGTAAATAGTATTAAACCATTATTGTCAGTACCCAAAACCGTTTTTCTTAATCCTTAAAATAATTCAATTTTTTTGATGTTATGCATAAGAAAGCATTTTACTTAATCCTTTAAATAATCCAATTACTTTTCTGATGTTGTACATAAGAAACCGAGGCATAGTGAGAGGTTGAGTAGTTTGCCCCATGTCATCCAGCATAAGTGGCAAAGCTGGCATTTGAACGGAAGCGGTTCGGCTCTAGAACCTGTGCTTTAACCGCTGTGTTTTATGCCTGCTCCGTGCCTGACATGAACTTCCACAAAGGCCATCTCAGCTAACTCGCCTGCCAACTGTGCAAGATAGGCTTCCTTATCCTTTTGTTTCACACGAAGAAATTAAAGCTCAGAGAGATTAAGAAACTCCTCAGAAGTCACACATTTAATAAATGGCAATGCTAGAATTCAAAAACAGAAGGACAGACAGATCAATTCCTGGCTTTCTGCAGGAAAATAGGTCACCACTTTGTTACTGTATTTGAAGGACCAGGTAGTGTTTGAGTACATTTAACTGACATTGTGTGTGGTCAAGTTTTTTCTTCCATTGTTGTGAACTTCATTGCTAGATTTTAGGGAAACATTTAGCCATAAGAGCTTCCCCAAGTACACCCCTTATCTGATCCCTTGAAGAGGGGAAAAATTTAGTTCTAAAGAAAAGGCATAATGTCAGTCATTAGACGCCTAAATGGATATTTTCAGTAACTCTACCCAGTTCCTTAATATCTATGGAGTTCTGTTCATTTAATGAGTCATATGATATTAAAATACATGTTGTTAACAGATACATATTAAACGCCTGGAATGGGCGAGGTGCTGTAATAGGTGTTGAAGAAAGAGAAGAGCAGTTTCGAGACGTAGGAGCTGACTAATAGGAGCTGGCAGGACGGGCACCAGGGCCGCCCCTGAAGAAAGCTCCCCGCTGCGCGTCTGCTCCAGTGCAGGCCGGGCAGAGCGGTCGGACGTGCCCGGGATACTCGGGAACTGTACGTGACTGGGAATGCAACCGTGGGTTGAGTACTCGGTTGTTGCTTTTGTGCTTCTTAATATATTACGAAGAATCCGTAGAATTATTTCATTTATATTTCAAAGCAAAAGAAAACAGAAAGCGCCCACACATTTCTGTATGCATAGATAATTTCTAAAAGCATACGTACCAGACTCCTTCAGAGTAGCTGCTACTAAATTCAGGCCAGGAAGAGGGGAACACTTTCATTTTTTAATTTCACAGAATTCTGTGCAGTTTGATTTTTTTTTAAGGAAGCCTTTATTACTTTTTAAATTTTATATACATATATATAGACTACACCACGTATCTAATAAAACATTCTTCCCTCTCCATTCAGCTTCTATCCATACAAATGAACGCTAAATTAGAAATAAATCTGTGTACATTTTGACATTTGACTTGATAAATTCAAGGCATAGAATAGAGCTCATTGGAAAAAATAATGCTTGTAAGCCTTTTTATAAACACTATGGTCTTCTCATAGGCCTCATCCGGGAGGGTGAGTGAGAAGAGGCTCAGATACGCTGCTGCAACGCCCTCTGACCAGGCATGGTGGGGATTCAAGAGAGGCTGGACTCGATGGAGTAACATAAAGCAGATCCCCCTGTTGTAATCCATGACCATTAAAGTGCCCTGGGGCCCAATGACCTACCGTGTGACGAAACTGGCAAGGTCTCAAAGCTGTTCATGGTCAGATCCCTGTCTCCCTGCTCAGCCTCATCATCTAGCCCCTGTTTTACCCACATCGCATCCATTCCTATAGCAAAAATAAGTAGGGCTGCCCAGTACCTCAGTCTGTGTCTCCTCTGCATCTCTGGTCTCCTATTTAAATTGGGCTTCAAACGTACCATGCTTTTTCCTTTTTCCCATTTTATTTATTAAATTTTTCCATCACCATTTATCACCCCTTTCACCTCCACCCAGCCCCCAGCCCCCTCATACCGTGCGTGCTTACGTCTTGCATGTATACCTTTGCCTGTGCTGTGCCCGCCTCTCATGCTTCCCCCCCCCTCAACACCCCTTACCTGTCTCTGCTGCAAACTCCTCTTCATACTCATACCTCAGTCCAAGGATTACCTGAGACTCTGGCATCATCCTGATTTGCCCAGATTTTGTTGGACCCCTTTGTTACATTCTCAGTGTTCCATTGTATCCTGCCATGTGCACTAATTTTAGTCTGTGCCTTAAGCCCTTCCTGTATTTTTTATTCCTGTATCCCCAACCTCTGCTCTAACCCTTGCTACGCCATAGTTGCTCCATACGCACTTGCTGAATGAATGAATGACTCCACTTAGACTGCCAGCGTTCTTCCCGTGGCCAGCATCTAAATGTGTGGTCTTGAAGAACTTAAATGGATGCCTATACATCTCAACCTCCTTTCTTTTCTTTTTAATTGATTCTTTATTGGATTTTTCCATTACTTTTAGTCCCTCTATACGCCACTCCCCCCATCAACCTCCTTTTGTCACTTTTTCTTCATTTACCCAGAAATGGTGATTAGCAAACCATTTTCCAAGATTTAATTGAAATTGTTTTCACATTCTTTAATTAAATAAAGCAGTCTAGATTCCTGATTTGCATAGTTATTTTTAACCCTTTGGAAAGTTCTAAATGAGCATTCAGTTTAGAAGGATTTTTCTACATGTGTTTATTTTGCCATTCTGCAGACCTGGCTACCCTGTCCTAAGGTTTCAACACAATAAAAATCTCATTTTTTTAGTGCTTGTCTTAACAGCAGTTTGACATTAACAAGCCCAAGGCCTTTACAGGCTAATTTTAGCTAACAAGGAAATAGAGTCCAGTAACTACTAAGAAACATAAACAAGCCCAGCCTGCTAGCAGTTCCTGAAAATCTTCCTGTTTTCCAGTAAATCCATGAGAATCATACAGTGAAAGAGAAGCCACAGCGCCGTTTGGGACCTCTGGGGTTATGTTGGTAGCTAAACCCCTCTCCTTTGGAGGCCCAGGGAGGGCTTACGCCTAAGAAAGCAAAAATGGCTGGCTGCCGAAGCGGGCCTGACCAAGCCTGACCGAGCGTCCTCTCCCTGTAGGAGATGAAAGTAAAGCCTCCTGCACCCTCTTCTCCAAATACACAAAGCCGTGACTCGGCCAGAGCTCAAGGGCACAGTTCCAGCCCTGCTTGGCAAGAACTAGGCAGGGCTCCCATCCTCCCACAAGATGCAACGGGCAAGAATGTTTCCTAGAAAAGAAACCGGGAGAGAGACTGAGGTGGGCCGAGCTGATAGGGAGCCAATGTGTGAAAACTGAAGGCTGCGTCCATCCCCCTTCAGAGGCAGGTTACCCTGGGAAGCGAAGGCGGCCTGGGTGTTTACGTAGCATTATTGGGGGAGTGAGCGCAGAAATAAAGTGGGGCAAGGGAACGGTGGCCCCAACAAAGCATGTGTTTGTGGCCAATACTACTCCTAGAAAATGGTTGCAGATACCACAAAAATAGGATTCAAAGTGCCCCTGTATTGCGATGTTCATTACAATACTATTTATGATAGCAAAAAATTAGGAGCAAACTAAATGTAACAACAGACAATTAATTATATAGCCAT